GGGAGCTCTGCCCTCTCCGCCCTCTAAGCCAGGCTGCCAGCGTCCTGGACACAATCTGCTGCTCACTTACCCAGTGTCTTATCAACACAGTACAAAGGGCACAGACTCTGGAGCCAGACTGCCTGAGTTCTGCTCCTGGCTTAACCATTTGCTTGCCTTCTGCAGGTTATTTAATATCTCTGTGCCTCGGTTTCTTCAATAAAATGGGGGCAGTAATAGTACCTATGTCATTGAGTTGTACAAATTAAATGAGTTAATATATGTAAACGTGCTCAGAACAGGATCTGACACGCAACAGTTTACAAGTCTTAGGTACCATACTATTTTTTTTTTTTTATTATTCCAGGGTATTGTGAGGGTACAAACATTATAGTTACACTTTATGTCTTTGCCTCACCCAAGTGCGGGTTAAAGTCATGCCCTTCCCTCCCTTTAGTGCTCCCCGTGTCCTCTAGTTGCTGGTTTACCTCCCCATCCCCCTAATCCCTGGAGAATGTTTCTGCCATGTGATCAACCTAGTGTTGATCAGTTAGTACCAATTCGATGGCAAGTACAAGTGGATCCCGTTCTTCTGCTCTTGTGCTGCCTCACTTTGGATAATGGGCTTAAGTTTAATCCAGGAAAGTATAAGAGGTGCTAGATCACTGTCGTTTCTTATGATTGAGTAATATTCCATTGTAAACATATACCAAATTTTAATAATCCACTCATGGATTGACGGGCACTTGGGTTGTTTCCACATCCTTGCAATAGTGAATTGTGCTGCCATAAACATTCGGGTGCAGATGTCTTTATCGTAGAATGTTTTGTGCTCTTTTGGGTAGATGCCTAATAGTGCTATTGCTGGATCGAATGGTATTTCTATTTTTAGCTCTCTGAGGTATCTCCAAATTCTTTTCCACAGAGGTTGCACTAATTTGCAGTCCCACCAGCAGTGTAACAGTGTTCCTGTCTCTCCACATCCTCGCCAGCCTTTATTGCTTTGTGATTTTTTGATAGAGGCCAATCTCACTGGGGTTAGGTGATATCTCATTGTGGTTTCGATTTGCATTTCTCTAATGATTAGAGATGTTGAGCATTTTTTTATATGTTTGCTAGCCATTATTCTGTCTTCTTTTGGAAAGTTTCTGTTCATTTCCTTTGCCCATTTGTTGATGAGGTTGTTTGATTTTTAGGTACTACTATTATTACCATTCATGTCCTGCAGGGACCATAAGGCTTGGGAATCACCCCAATTTGGGGGATGAGCATCCCTGGGGGCCCAAACTCTGATGAAACCTAAGTCGATGGAGAGTTGTGTGCAGGTAAGAACTCTCTCAGTGATCTAGTGGGGATGGCTCCTCTTGCTTCATTCTTGAATACCTAAGTGACTGGTGAGTAAGGAAGGCCTGTGATAATGATGACCCTGGTGAGGATGGTCATGACAATGACTGAAGCATGATGCTGGGAGGATGGGTTCACTGTAATCTGATGACTGCAGGAAGGAAGTAGCTGTGGAGGGAATGAGGAAGCTTTTCCTGCAGCCTCGTGAACAGGCTGGCTCTCTGCCTGTCTGTGGACTGCCAGCCACTGCCTTTGCAGATCTGGAGTCGGAGATGCCCCCCAAACAACCAGAAAGAAAAGCACCAGTGATATCCATCTTAATACAAAAAGCAAACCTCCTGACCCCCAAACCCTCGGTTTTCAGACGCAGAGACAGCAGAGGAGCTACATTTGGAGAGAAGATGATGAGGAAAAGGAAGACAGCAGCTCCGTGGAGAGTGATTCTGATGATGGCTCGTTCTCAAGAACTGAATACAGCAGGGACAAGGAAGCTGCCAGGAGCCATTACCCCTGCGAACAATTGCAGAAGTAAGGGAAACTCAGCCGGGGCAAGAAGGGTGGAAAGAGAGGCAAAGAGGTGGGCAGAAAGGGCAGCTCCCAAAAAGGACATTAGAGCTGGGATTAATTGCAAAGGAGGAGATGGAAGAGACGCAAGTGGAAAAAGCTGGCTTTGTACCGGGGCAAGATCAAGGGGAAGTCAAGGGTCCTACCCAGCAACAACACCAGGTCTCTAAAAATAGGATTACAAGGTTGTCCAGGGAGCAGAATTCTGATAACTTCAGCTGCCTGAATTGCCGCCAAGACCTTCATCTCCAAATTTGGGCTTTGGGAACATATTTAAAAGTATATCCCCTGCTCAGATCACCAGACCTCTCCATGTCTGTCAGAACTATAATCCTAGCCCTGCTACCCCTATACAGTTGAAAAGCACCAAAAGAGATATCAGTGATATGGATGTGATATTGTGATATAATAAGAAATATATATTTGGTCTTCCTCCCCCAGTCCTGGCACAGAGCTCCGAAAACACTTAGAATTTTCTGAGTAAGCCAGGTGCTGTGGTGCGCGCCTGTAGTCTCAGCTATTCTGGAGGCTGAGGTGGGAGAATTGCTTGAGGCCAAGAGTTCAAGTCGGTTGTTATGATCATGCTTATGAATAGCCACTGCACTCCAGCCTGGGCAACGGAGCCAGATCCCTTCCCCCAAAAAACAATTTTAAAACAAACTAATAATAATAATTTTGTAAACAGCCACAGAGGCTGTGAAAAAATAATAATTTTAAAAAAGAATTTCCTGAGTGGTAGGAGTGAGGGGAGCATCTTTTTTTATTCATAATAAGCCCCTTTCAACCTTACCGGAGCTTGTGCTAAGATGGTGACTTTTGGACAAGGCTGGTTGCTGCAGAAACCAATCATGTGATTAGAGGGTTGGAACCTTCATCCCTACCCACTAACCTTCAGGAAGGGCAAAGGGCTAGAGAATGAGTTAATCACCAATGGTCTATGATTTGATCAATCATGCCTACATAGTGAAGCCTCCATAAAAACCCTAAACAATGAGGTTTGAGATTCATAGAGCTTCTGGGTTGGTGAACACACTGGAGTGCTGGGAGGGTAGCACACCCAGAGAGGGCACGGAAAGTCCATGCACCCCCATCCCCATACCTTGCCCTGTGCATCTCTTCCATTTGGCTGTTCCTGAGTTGCATTCTTTATCATAAACCAGTAATTAGTAAGTAAAGCACTTTCCTGAGTTCTGTGAGCCATTCTAGAAAACACTGAACCCAGGGAAAGAGTCATGGGGACCCCTGATTTATAGCCAGTTGACCAGAAATACAGGTCACAACCTTAGACTTGCAACTGGCATTCACTCTAGGTAGTTTGTCATAATTGAATTGTAAGATGCCCAGTTGGTGTCCAGAGGAATTGGAGAATTGCTTAATGTGAGGGAAAAACTCATTCCTTTGGTGTCAGATTGTTGACTGTAAGAAAAATAGAGATTTTTCTTTTTAGCTTTCTTCCTTGACTGTTTCTTATGCCTGTCTCTTCCACTAAGCCATTTATAATGGCATTCGCTAATTTCCCCAAAGACTTGCAGTTTTTGCTACACAAAACAAAGCACTCAAGAAAATTCCTCAGTGATTAGTACTTTAGGATTATTTCTCCAATAGTAGGCACTAAAGGGACAGAAAAGAAAAGCAGAGTCTAGAGCCTCAAGATGGAAATCCCAGCCCTGCCCCAGGGCCCCAAGGAGAAGTTAGAGGCATGCCAGAGAGAAGAGGCTCAATTTAGGTATTCAAGGTAGGAATAAGCAGCCTGGCAGAGGGAAACTAGCCTTCAGAACATTTATTGAGAACTACCATTGGTTCAGCAAAAGATGCCCAAGTCTCTCTTTCTGGTCAGAGCTATCTTTCCCAGAGCAACAACTATGATTTTTGCTACCATGCACTTTATTAAAAATACGTATGAGGACAAGCATAACACTTTTGAAGCAAGGGATGGCAAAGGGAAAAATCATTTCAGCACTGTGCTCCAGATCACTGCGGCAAAAAAACAAATCAGCAGACATTCCCCAAACAGCAGAGTCTACAGGAGAGGTGACAAAGAACTCCACCATTGCCTTAGCAGCGGCCAACTCTCAAGAGCCCACATCACCAGGAAGAGGGAGCACCTGCCTTACCTTAGTGTCCACAGGAGCAGACCAAGATACAGCACCAGTCAATTCTCCCCTCGTGTCCACGGGACAAGGGGACAGGGAATACTCTTGTTTTACGAGGACACACTGGACACACACCAGGTGTGGCAATGAGGTATCCTTTTATTTACCTATGAGACCGGGACTAAAGGCCACCATCGTTACTATACTACACTCAGAACAGATTCCAAATGTAACAGTAAAATTTCCTTCTTTTCTCTGGCATCAGAAGAGGAAGTACTTGCTTTAACATGAGGCCTTCCCATGAATTTCTGTTCAATTCTCCTAATATCCTGTAGCCATGGGAATGAATAAACTTTGGGATGCAGGTTGCCTTCCAGGAATATTATTCCTTGTTTCTTATTTATATTATAGCTGCTACATAGTTTTGACTTCTATGTTCTTTAATCAAGAAAAGAAGGAGAAATAACTAAGAAAAGAAAATCATAGAGACAGAAAGTAAATGGCAGTTGCCAGAGGCTGGGAAGAGGGGAGATAAGGAGTTATTGTTTAAAGGGTCTAGAGGGGCTGGGCATGGTGGCTCAGGCCTGTAATCCCAGCATTCTGGGAGGCTGAGGCAGGAGGATCACTTGAGCCCAGGAGTTTGAGATCAGCCTGGGCAACACAGTGAGACTGCATATCTACAAAAGATTTTAAAAAATTAGCCAGGCATGGTAGCACATGCCTGTAGTCCTAGCAACTTGGGAGGCTAAGGCAGGAAGATCGTGTGAGCCCAGGAGTTCGAGTCTGTAGTGAGCTATGATCGGGCCTGGGTAACAGAGCAAGACCCTGTCTCTTAAAAAAAAAAAAAAGGTATAGAATTTCACAAGATGAAGATGATAGATTGGTAGTGATGATGATTGCTCCATGTTATGAATGTATTTAATGCCACTGAACTATATACTTAGAATTGGTTAAGATGGTACATTTTATGTCAGGTGTATTTTACAATAAAAATAATTTAAAAAGAAAAGATGTGAAGGAGGGGGAGAAGACAGATCATTCTTTGCTCAGTCTTCAAGCATTTGGCTTCTGGTTTCAATGTATAGAGGTCATTTCCCAGCAATATAAGCTCACTTGAAAACCATCATTTTATTTAATTCATGGTTGAAAATCATCAGTGTAACAGTGGTGCTCTCTAGGGACCAGTCGTCTTCTCCTTCCCTTATGTTTGATAAATAGTGGGCGAGGAGGGAGGAAGTGTGGCGAGTGTGGGAGGAAGACAAAGCAGGAAGGAAATCTAGGATAGGTCATTTGGGGATAGGGAGCAAGGAAGACTAGGTTTATTTTCAGAGGGATGTGTACCGAGCATGCTCTTAGCTGGAAGGAGAAAGGGAAGATGAACACCCTTGCAGGTGTGCACTGGGGGTGGTAACAGCAGCAGAGAGAATGTGGGTGGCAAATCAAGGTGAGGGGAAGGTCAGAGAAGGAAGGTAGGGGCAGCTTCAGTCTGCAAATTGCTCAGAAAGTGTTAATTTCCTGTGCCACCACGTAATCCATGCAGTTGGTCTCCCACCCTCCCTGGGGCCAGCTCAGGCTTACTTTCATATTCCTCCCAAGAAGAAACGTTAGTAGAGGTTAAATGACCCCAATTGAAGAGTTTTTTATTGTTATAATTATTAAACATGCTAAGGTCACATAGAATGGCTATTCCATTTCTGCCCTGACTCCAGAGTGGGGCAAGTGGAAACTACAGGGGTAACTTGGTTTGTATGGCCTCTGGTGACGGGTAGACTTCGGGGGTTAGAGGTAGGAAGGTTAGCTAAAGCCCCAAGAATCCTTCATGAGCATACTTTCACCAACAGTAACTTGTGGCCTCAGAGATTTTCCCCTTCACCGTTTTTCTTTCCTCCCTAAATCTACCCTACTTCTCATTTCCCTGCCAGTGGCCTTGGAACCTCTTCTGCCTCTGCCCCTTGTGGTCCTAGACTACACGATGAAGGAAACGTTTCCTCACGGGCAGCAGGCCAGTCCTCCTTCCTTGGAACTAATGTACTCGGCATGCACTATTGTGGTAAGCTGCTTGAATCAGGTCTGCCTGGGGGAAAAGGAGGCTCCAGTCCGCATTGTGGCTTAGATCCTAGGAGGGGAAGTTGGAGGTGGTGGTGCAGAAGGATCTGAAAGGGAAAGAATGTTACCTGAAGTGTGGATGCTGTAATATGTCCACCCGCAGGTACCCTACTCTGAAGGCTTTCCCCTCCTTCCCACACCATGTGTGTGTGTGTGTGTGTGTGTGTGTGTGTGTGTAAGCAGAGGTCTCTCAACCTCAAAGCCTCTTGTTCTTCAACCCCACAGGGCAGGCATAGCTACTGATCAGGGAGCTTTATCCCCAAGGAGAAATTGGTCCACTCTTAGCCAAGTGGCTGCCAATCGAAGTCTTCATCTTCCCCACGTTGCTCGTGCCTCTACTGCTGTGATGGTTTAATGGGACCAGAGAAAAGAATATATAAGGATTGAATTTGCCTCAGCAAGAGACTAGAGGAAAAAGGGGACAAAGATACGTGGGAGTCAGGACTGTGGAGAAGGGGAGAGAAGGGAATAGGGTGAAGGACAAGGCTGGCCATTCAGGAGCTGGGATCCTTTTTCCTCTTCTGAAATCGCCGGAACTTGCCCTGAATGGCAAGGGCAGCCTTCTCTGTTTCTGGTGCTGTCAGATCAATGTCAATCTCCTCCTCCTCCTCCGCCTTCTTGGCATTGCCAGCTTTCCCTGCAGATAGTGGGAAGACTCATAAATGGGTTAACCAGACCTGTCTCAGCCCCTTTCTCCAGGTCCTAAATACTGTGGTTGAGACCCACTTTGTGCGGGACTCTGTGGGGAGGACCAACTTTCCTAGGACTATGAATGCCTGATAACTCTCCTAGAAGTTTGAGTCAGGGTACCCAGGCTGGGAATTAGCTATATTTACTTAGGGGAGCTTTGCTAGTCTTGGACCAAATCGCAGATGTCTTCTATCATCACTTATTCCTAAATCCTCCAGTTCAGGTCCCAAAACACACTCACTTTCCCCAGCTTTCCCTCAATTTCTGATGGAGGCAGTATCTGGGATTATCTAATTATCTAAGCCACTTTCTTCTTATCATTATACCTGCTTCCTCTAACCACTCCAGACCCAGTTTCTAAAACCGAAGAGCAAATATCGATAGGTTTACTTCCTAGGAAAAATTGGAAAGAATATATATATATATATATATATATATATATAGTAGTTCTAGCCTAGTTCTTTGTTTCACTTATCCACGTTCTTATTCCTTTCACATCTGACTTTAAGAGCTCCCAGATTTACAGCCCTACTAGCCTTCACGTCCCTACGTTCACCCACTCTACAGACTGCCAGCCCAATCCCACTCACCTTTTTCATCTGGGCCAGATGCCTGGTTGGTTGCTGGGGATGTTTTGGTGTTAAGCTGGAAAAAAAAATCAGAATATTAGATATTAATGGAAGTATTACAGTGCCACCACCTTAGACCCCTTAGGTACTCTCAAGCCTTCCTATTACCAGGTGCATGTCCTTCATCATTTGAAGAAGTGGATCTTGATATCAGAGCATAAGAAAAGTCATCAAGATTTATTCAACAAAGATGTATTGGTGCTAGGGAAATTGTAAAGGACAAAATGGGCAAAATTCTGTCCCTATGGAGCTTACATTCTAGTTAGTGTATCCCCAGACAAATAAATAAACATATTAATATAAAATGACTGCTATGTTAGATGATAATAAGTGCTATAGAGAAAAGGCAGGGAAGGGAGGTGGTGAGTGCTGGGGTGGAAATGGAGGAACACAGTTTGATGTGGAGTGTCAGGAGAAGCCTCTCTGAAAGGTGGCAATTGAACAATGAGCTGAAAGAGATGAGGGAGCAAGGCTTGTGGCTATCTGGGGCAAGAGCTTTCAAGGGACCTGGGGTGGAACTGTGACTAGCCTGTGTGAGGAATAGCAAGAGATCAGTGTAGCTGGAGTGGACAGAGGAAGGAAAAAAGGAGGAAAGATGGATGGAGATGAGATCAGAGTTAACTAGGGGTGGGGACAGATTATATAGGGCCTTGGGAGTCTTTTTAAGGAGTTTGACTTTCGCTACAATTAAGATGGAAAGCCATTGGAGACCTCTGATTTGCACAAAAGGGATATGAGAGATGAAGCAGAAAAACCTGTTAGGAGGTTTATTGCGGAAAACCAAGCAAGAGGTGATGGTAGCTTAAATCAGCATGGTGGCAGTGGAGATGGTAAGTGGTTAGATTCAAGCTGTGACCAATAAGATTTATTGATTGGAAAGATGGTATTGTGAGAAAGAGAGGAGTCAGGATGACTCTAGAGTTTCGGCCTGAGGATCTGAAAAAATGGAGTTGCCATTTCCTGCAATGGAAAAGGCAGCAGGGGAAGCAGCAGGTTTTAGGGAGAGAATCAGGAGCTTGTTC